TTTTCGGTCTTTTGTAATAATTCTGTTCGCATAGCTCAGCCCTTTACCCCTCGTACTTTAAAACACCTGCAGGTTTGAAAGGGGTAAAGACATAAAGAATATACGAATATTAACGAAAATTAGAATATAATTCGCGTAAGTGGACACTATAGTTCATAAACATCATCATTTATCCCTTATCAGAAGCAGGTGCATTGCCACTCCTGAGGACTAAAATTGAATGCCTTATTTCCAGTAAAAAGGGTCTCCGGTTCTCTACACTCACCATACGAAACCTACCCCGGTTGAGCCAGCCCATTCGTGCTAAAAACATAACATAGCTGAAGCATGACTCTACCATACTGACTTTACTGTACTCAGTCTCCTGACTGTAACTAGAGTTGGCAACAATTATATTTGCATTCCTAAAGTTATCAACTGACAATAATTAGGAATACCTAGTTGTTGCCGCGTAAAGTACATTTGTGGTAACATCTACAAGAAAAAGTTTAAATAAAATAAAGACGTACAAAAAATATTTATTCACTGGCTGACAACACCTTAAAGATCTGTGATACACAATTTTAAAGATGTGTTATTGATTAGTTTGCATTTATTTTCGTTGTTATGTAATTTTTTCGAATAAATTATTCCTAAATTGGTCTCCCTTTATTAAATGACTTCTAATATTTACACGGACACTACACATATATATAATAATATACACGTATATTTAATATATATATATATATATATATTATATATATTTATATTTTTTTTTTATATATTGTCGCTGAGTAGCTTTAGATACATCAAATTAGTTTTCATAAAATTGTAAACAAATAAACACACACACACACACACACTTTCATTATTGTATTATCAGATATACTAGGTAAAGATTCAATGTCTCTATACTATACCGATACATTGTTGATCTAAGTGAAAGATGAATTTCGACCTGGAATTTAAATAAATTAAATAAACAAATGTATATTTAATTTATTTAAATATTTAATAATTAAAAAATAATAAATATAATATTATAAAGATAATAATATTTCATAAATAGTCCCAACGCAAACAACAACACTACTAAGCGCGTGCCGCAAGTGGCCGCAAGCTAGCACTTTCAGTTTATACAAAGGTACTCTGTGGCTAGCACGCTGCACACATATTGTTTTGATAATAACGTTGACTTGACACTTGACCAGTGTTGCCAACATTTAAATTAACTCTCCACTAGATTCAACATTTAAAGCCACCAGAAAACCACTAACAAAAACTGCCCAAAATTTTCAATAATATTTGTGGTGACTAAAGTACTTGATGAAACAGCAGTGTTTAAAACCTCCACTACTAACGTTGTCTAAAATAATTTAGTAAATATAACCTAGAATAAGTCGCCGTGAAATATGTTTAGAGTGATTTTGAAAATAAAAATTTTGAATACAAAAAATAATTATTAAAAAAAAGAATTATGGTTTTATAGAGTTGGTTCCCCTTACCTCTACACTGCATAAATGTAGCCACTGGAATGTATCATCTAACGTCACGTCATGTCTGACAAACCAGTAAATATTGTCTACACAGTAGAGCAAATACTCCTAATATGAAGTAGAAATAAATTTCGCAACGTATAGGTGGTTTAATAGTTGAGTGATCATCTTTCCACTAATTGAAACTTAATTCTACTGAACCACTAGAAGAAACCAATAGCCACTAACAGCAATATTTTTCCACAAGAAAAGATCGAAACCTCCAGTTTAGTGGAAAATTAATTAAGCTGGCTACACTGCGCTTGTAAGTGACATCTCTATAGTAAGTGATGTGCAAACTGCAAAGATCATATAAATCACTCATAATATACCCCTTTATGGGCATACATTATGTTCTGTGCTCATATATATTTTTCCTTTTTCCCGGACAACAAATTGAACACTATTTTGGAATATTCATCTATTAGGCTATATTATATTTAAAGTCTCTTTAATTTAAATATTGCTATATTTTATTAGTAGTATAGCTTACCAAGTTGTATCACAAAATACCCATGGCAAACGCAACACCGTACATACACCACAATAACGCAACACGGGCGACCGACGCGACGTACCGGAAAAGTCGTCATACGCAGAAAGTACCTCAAAAGTGAGGTAAATACGGCTGTTTTATATGTGCTAATTCATCTCAGTACTACATAAAAGTAATTTTTTATTACATTTTCTCTAAAGTAGGTACATTTGTGTAATATTATTAAGAAATAACGATAGATACCAAGTTGTAAACTTACTGGTGAAATGAGTAATGCTGGGGATTATTCCTTTTGGACAAATCACATCCCGGTACAGAACAAGAAACCATTGCATTAAACACTATAAAGTTTAGATTATCAGTATAATTCACATAAGAAATAGCCGAAATGTATTCGCTCACAATTGATCGGGCCGTTATGTGCCGGTAGCAAATATTTGTTTAGTCTCGCTGACAGTGTCACTGGCTTTCTCTTTCTAACACACGAAACTACTGTATGGCGCGGTAGCCCTTTTTTACTCATAAGCCCAATCTATGGAGTTCATACTAAATCTATGGCGTTAATTAATGACGTCATTTGCATTCGCTAGTATAGTGGGAATATTTCAGAACATACCCTTTATAGACGACCTGACAGTCCGGAAACGCGTGACCAATTTTTATTTGTCATTGTGTGCGTTAGCTAGTGAAGTACATTTTACTTATAAGAACTATCGACGCTGTAGGCGCACGCTATTAAGAGCTCGGCACACAGCATAAATCGGGCATCGAGCGTTGTGAGTATCATAGATAAATGTGAACCTTGTAATTGTGGCCGTGGAAGGAAGAGGGGAGATCTCCCGCCGGGCAAGGTGTTCTACCCGGGGAGCGGCCAACGGTCCTATGTGCTTTCCTTTCTGCCAAGGAGGGTCGCGTTCGTATACGGCTTAGAGATCTCTCGTCAGATCGGTAAGTCAATCCATAATGGCGGTGTTTAGTGGGTAAAAGTCTCCACATAACCACGCAGCCGGCTGCGTGTTATGCTATGAGCATTCACCGCCTCCCTTCCCCGCTTTCCGGAGGGTTGCCCATATTTGCTTCGGGCGTAAAAAAAATTGTGAGTCTCAAATACTATGGAGTTTATACTATCTGCACACACATACTGAACCGCGCGTCTTATGCGCGGGCGTCTAGAAGCGCTTCAGGAACATTACTAAATATCTATATCTAACTACACTAAGTTTTATCATTGTTACTTGGGAATATAATCTGAAGCTCCGATCTACTCCTTGGGGAAAATAGCATGACACTATGAATGTTGTACTAGTGTGACCTGTGAAGTGCGGATGGTTAAGTAAGGTTATAAATTTTTTCGGTTTATAAATAGATACTTATATCAAAAGTATTTGAAGTTAAATTTTAAAGTCGTATTGTAACAATATACATACTGGTACAAATAATGTGGAAATGGCTCCTTTTAATGAAATTGTTTTATTCTACTTTTTCTTTTATACTTCGCAAGAAAATGTTTGCTGAAAATTTTTGAGTTCTTTCTTCAGATTTCAACCAACCCGCCCAATAAACTTAACCATATTTTTTCTAATTATTGAATCCGGAGGGAATCTGTTTGACAAATGGCAAAATAAAATTACATTTTAGAACGCTATTCGAGTAAGTATTTATTTTCATTCCGTTGTGTGGGGATAAGTATAAATAATAATAATTAATACGCACGCTTATGCCGCGTGGACTTATACTTTGGGACAGGGAAACACCTGCGTATGGCGACTTTTCCGGTACGTCGCGTCGGTCGCCCGTGTTGCGTTATTGTGGTGTATGTACGGTGTTGCGTTTGCCATGGGTATTTTGTGATACAACTTGGTAAGCTATACTACTAATAAAATATAGCAATATTTAAATTAAAGAGACTTTAGATATAATATAGCCTAATAGATGAATATTCCAAAATAGTGTTCAATTTGTTGTCCGGGAAAAAGGAAAAATATATATGAGCACAGAACATATGTATGCCCCTAAAGGGGTATATTATGAGTGATTTATATGATCTTTGCAGTTTGCACATCACTTACTATAGAGATGTCACTTACAAGCGCAGTGTAGCCAGCTTAATTAATTTTCCACTAAACTAGAGGTTTCGATCTTTTCTTGTGGAAAAATATTGCTGTTAGTGGCTATTGGTTTCTTCTAGTGGTTCAGTAGAATTAAGTTTCAATTAGTGGAAAGATGATCACTCAACTATTAAGCCACCTATACGTTGCGAAATATATTTCTACTTCATATTAGGAGTATTTGCTCTACTGTGTAGACAATATTTACTGGTTTGTCAGACATGACGTGACGTTAGATGATACATTCCAGTGGCTACATTTATGCAGTGTAGAGGTAAGGGAAACCAACTCTATAAAACCATAATTCTTTTTTTTTAATAATTATTTTTTGTATTCAAAATTTTTATTTTCAAAATCACTCTAAACATATTTCACGGCGACTTATTCTAGGTTATATTTACTAAATTATTTTAGACAACGTTAGTAGTGGAGGTTTTAAACACTGCTGTTTCATCAAGTACTTTAGTCACATCAAATATTATTGAAAATTTTGGGCAGTTTTTGTTAGTGGTTTTCTGGTGGCTTTAAATGTTGAATCTAGTGGAGAGTTAATTTAAATGTTGGCAACACTGGTCAAGTGTCAAGTCAACGTTATTATCAAAACAATATGTGTGCAGCGTGCTAGCTTGCGGCCACTTGCGGCACGCGCTTAGTAGTGTTGTTGTTTGCGTTGGGACTATTTATGAAATATTATTATCTTTATAATACACATAAGTGTCAACGTGCATTAATCGTTTAGCTGGATTATTCGAAGTGAAATCTACTAAGCACGGAGAGCTGCTGCATACGGGATTGCGGCGTGAGCCGCGTGATCACAGCGGTGCAATCCGGTTTGAAGCCGACGCCGTAGCCTGCTAAGTTTCAGAATAGAACAAGAATATGAAGCCACACGACGACGGAATGAACGGTCATGGTGAGCATTACCATATCCTCACTTAAGTATTATGAAGCTATATTAATTTATAGGTACAGTTACGGCTTATATTTATTACAAAACATGCTTACGTTTTAACATTACTTTTTAGTATATTGATAAACACTTAATAAAATGGCAAGTTATATATATTTTTAAATATAGGTATTAGAGATTTTTATGAAGTGGAACAATCATATTATGAATATGGTTTAATATTTTAGGTATGTACAGTTGAGATGTAGTTATGATATAATTATTTTTGATGAATAGTGCTTAGTACTTGGTCAATGAATGTAATGCGTTTTATATAATGATTTCTTATATTTATGCGAACACTACACATTGAAATAATACTAGTTTTTACGGAATTTATCGCGTATATTTAACTTTTTAAATACCCGACGTTTCGAACGCTTTACAGCACTCATGGTCACGGGCGGGACTGAGATGTTCAACGTCCATATGTCATAGTTAACTGCGGTTACCATAGATTAAAATTTAACTTTTGTTCTGATCTAAACAGTATCAACTTATGGTATCTTGATGTCTTGCAGTTGTATGCTTGGGTTGGGATTTAATTTTATTTATTATCGGATCCCAAGTAGATGGTAGCACCCAGCCATCTTCTCTATTGAAATTAAGATGTTTTTTGATTTCAATAGCCTCGCGAATCATCCTTGGAAGGAATCGGTGTTCTTTAGCGAGGATTTGCGGTCTATCAAATCTGATGTAGTGACGGGGGTGATCCTGTACGTGTTCTGCAGTCTGTTAACACATGCATTTGTATTTCTTCTTCTACTTTTAAATTATGGCTTCTCGATAGAACTCTGCCAGTGTCAAGTCAGTCCATTTATATTTCTTGAGTCATCAGCACTGTTGATGCTCTGTATTGAATGTAATGATAATCTGCAACTGATTAGATTTGAGTAGAAAATTATTATTTCTTGTAATTAATCACTGACGAAAACAGAGGGGTGTTATAAGTTTATAGTGTGTATCAGTGTGTCTGTCTGTTGCATCATAGTTCCTGAATGAATGACTGATTCTAATAATTTTTTTTGTTTGAAAGGTGTCTTAATCAGAAGTTTTCTTAGCTATGTTTCTATAAAAACCTGTTCAACCATTTGAAGACCTATCTCTTTTTGTTGTGGGGTTTTTTTAAATTTAATTTAAGTTTTATACTACTGTTATTAAAATAAAATGTTTACTAAGGTCGTAGATTGTAACCTACATTATAATTGTTTGATTATTATTATCTTACATATTACACATTAAATAAAGGGTATTAAAGTAAGAAAGTGTCACGGTTTATAATCTTTGTATACTTATATAATTTAGAAATATTTCTTTAAAGGAAATAATAGAATGATCTTAAGTTCAGTTATTTCATTCAATTTTATTAAAACTGTACTATGGACTTTAGGATTTAAAACTTAAGTTAAGGTTACAGCCTATATATGTCCCACTGCTGGGCGCGGGCCTTACCTCATTTCTGAGTGGGTTTTAGGGCAAGTAAGTGTGCGCCGCCCTGCCCCAATTTGTGTTGATGAACTTCACATGTTTTCAAAATATATTTTTTTCTTATTTCTCAGAATGTAGGTTTCCTCACAATGTTTTCCTTCACCACAAAGCATGTGGTAAATCAACACTTAAAATTGTAATTAACAATTTTATTAGTGCCGGCGGGCAGGGGTGGAAGAAACGAATAAAGTAAGATTTTTGAAAAAATCCTAATTAATCACTTGATATTATTATTTTGTTTCATTAATAATATTTTTGCGCAAAATGGAACGCACCCTCTAGGGATTGTACGGACACAGCTCGGGGATTTCCCTTTTGTCGACATGTAAATGCACAGCAAAAGGGAAATCCCCATGTAGTATTTTGTACATTTCACTTTCAATTATGGTCCCTTCTAACAATCATTCATTCCTTCAGTTTTGTTTACTATTGTTATTGCTGTGATGCATGCCTGACCAATTTATTATAAATAAAGCGCCACGCCAAAGAGATGGGTCTGTATTTTAGTTCATAATCACAAGTAGAGCCAGATGAAGGAGTACTGTAGGTAATTTGTACTATAGTGACAATTTTTAGACTTATGAAAATAAATGGTATAATTGATGGGATGCAGTTAAAATTTTTAGCAGTGTTGGACATTGTCTTGCACTTAGCAGGCATATTGACAATTACGAGATGTCTGTCACCTTTGATGCTGCTTTTTCCGCTCCAGCTTCACATGGGTAACTTTTAGATCTCGACAACAGTGCCACCCGCTGAACCATCCAGGGACCCACTCAAGTGCACAAAAAATTCATCTAAATCCGTTGCATAGTTTAAAAGATCTAACCATTCAGACTGTGAGAAGCAACTTTGTTATATTATACTATTGTTGCGCGCCTAAGTTGACGTCTGGCACTAGCGCCATCTAGTGTCGGGCAACAGAGCAAGGAGAGCTTTCCAGAAAATGACATGACTAATCTTTAACCAACAGTGCCATCTAGTATCGAATTGAAGAACTAAGCGTTCTGGAAGCCTCACACTGGAACTTTCTGCGTCTGGTCGGTCGGCGCCATATCTACGGGAATATTCTGGATGTTTCGGTGTAAAAGTGTATTTAAACCCGCTGCATGCCGCGATCAGGGCAGTATTGAATTTGGCGAGACAAGCGAATCTTCGGAGCGAAATAAAGTGAATCAGTGCGGTTAATTATTAGTGTTTTTTAAGTTTTCATTGGTCTTTGGTAATAAAAGTGTAAATTTTGGTAATTCAATCGGCAGTTTTTACTGTCACGAACCTCAAGCTCATAATAATTGGTGTCACAAGTGGGATAAAATCATGCCGATTTTACCTAAGGAGGAAACGGAGGGTGTCCGTACCTGAAGTCAACGCCAGCAGGAGATGGACCAGAGAAGATTTGGTGGTGCAACGCCGCAGACGTCAGGGGGCCAACTGCCAACCATGGATGTTGGCCCGTCAGCAGCTCCTACACCTGCAGCATCTGACTTATGTGCTCTGATGGTGATGCTGCAGGAACAGGCTCGCCGACAGGAGGAACAGGTCCGTCGGTTGGAAGAGCAGCTGCGGGGCGGACAGGATGAACAGGCCCGCCGACAGGAAGAACAGGTCCGTCGGTTGGAAGAGCAGCTGCGGTGTGGACAGGATGAACAGGCCCGCCGACAAAAGGAACAAGTCCGTCGGTTGGAAGAGCAGATGCTCCTCGTGAAGGACCTTTACGCTACCTTCGGAAAAGAGATATGGGAGGTGAAGGATAAGGTTGCTCAACATGACAATCCTGTCGGAAGCTGAAACCCGAATCGACCAAGTAAACAATCGGGTTGACAACGTAATGGCTGACATAAAGAAATCACTGGACGAACTCAAACTTGGAGATGGAACTACAGCTCCCGTAGTAGCTACAACACCTTCGCTACGTGGGTTCAAGGTGCCACCGTTCGACGGGACTTCTTCCTGGTCAGCCTACAAAATCCAGTTCGAGGCTGTTATGAAGGCGAACGGCTGGAATAAAATTCAGGCCATGACTGCTCTCACGCTAGGCCTGCGTGACCAGGCCTTAACTGTTCTGGAAGCTCTTGGTGAGGAAGTGACTTATGAGCAGCTCCTTGTGGCATTGGAGGCGAGATATGGCGACGCTCACATGGAACACGTCTTTTCGTGCGCAGCTTAAAGATCGCGTGCACCGCATCAACGAAAATCTGCAGCAGTGGGTCTAGAGGTGGAGAAGCTGGTGCGAAAAGCATACTGGTCTGTACCTGTGCTCTTTGAAGGAATATTATATATACATACATATATATATATATATATATATATATATATATATATATATATATATATATATATATATGTATGTATGTATGTATAATATGTAATGTACAATACTTCTATTTGTCACTGAACTCCCAAACCACTGGATCAACTGATGAAATTTGTATGTGTGTTTGAGTGGGTCCCTGGAAGGCTCCAGAATTGGACCCAGTAGGTGGCACTGGCCGAGATACAGAATAAGTGGGGTGTTGTGGTTTTTTAATTTTCTGGTTCGATGGAGTTAACGTTTAAGTCTGAACAATAATTTAAATTAGTATGACTTCTGTTAAATTTGTCAATCAGTTTCAGTAGTCTGAGGTGGACAGACGCTTATACCCATTATAGGGAATTGCCCTTTACGCTGTACCTCTTATTTCCCGTGCCCTACAACAACATGATACTAGGAAATTCATTTGAGAATTTGTATAATTGAACAAATACCATAACACTTTACAACTATCTAGTCTTTCCTTAAAACTGTACTTGGTTCAATTTTACAGGAGACTTAATTCGTTTTTCCATTTCGTAGATTGAAGGTTATCTTTTTTACACAAGTATTGAGCATACAGTCCATTCGACAGTAAATGAATGCTGCCAATAGACACCTACATCTATCCTCGATTAAGAATCGAATTGCTGATGTTGTTACCTATTATGGGTATGTTCCGAAATACAACGCAGTGTACTGTCCAATGCAAATGACGTCATGAATCGACGCTATACTGGTGATTCGTTCCAAAACATTGGACAGTATATGACGTCATACTTTTGCGCCATTTGGAAAAGTGTTGGCGATTATTTTGTCATTTTGTGCTCCAAAAATCATTATATCCTCCTAATGCATATACCATCAATTATTCTATAATTTTTTGTATTTGAATAAATAGAAATAAATTCTGGCATGCTTCATTCGGCAAACACACAATTAAAAATTGTTTTATTATGGCCGGATATCCGACACAATATGGCGGCGGCACGCTAGTACAATAAAGTGTCAAATGATGACGTCATTGCATTGGACAGTACACTGCGTTGTATTTCGGAACATACCCTATAAAAGATTTTCGGAGGTAAGTATTCTGCTGCCACTTTACGTTGGTATTTCAGGTAAGTTGCATTTATTTAAATAACATGAAATGCTGTAGCGATTAATCGTCTAACTTTCAAAATCC